TTTAACTCAACTTTGCCAGGTATGGTGGTACATATCTGAAATCCCAATGACTCAGGAGTCTGAGATAAGTGGATTGCAAGTTTGAAGTCAGCCTCTGCAATTTAGTGAGAACTTTTCTTAAAAAAAAAAAAAGAAAGAAAGAAAGAAAAGAAAAGAAAAGAAAAGAAAGGACTGGGGATGTGGCTCAGTGATTGAGCGCCTCTGGGTTCAGTCTCCACTAATACACCCACCCCCACACCCCCCACACACAAAGACTCCACTTTGATTCTGTCAGATTTCACAATTACTTACTATTCTATGGTGTGACTGTAATAWCAGTGATTTAACTTCTCTCCTAATAATGCAGGTTCAAATTATTTCTACTTTTGTGATAGTACAAAAATGTGGTAATACGTAAAACTCTGAATATATGATTTGATGTATTTTGGTGACTACATCTCAACAGGTAAATTTATAGCAATGAACTTGCTGTGATAAAAAGTGCATATGTATTTTAAGGATTTTTTTTTTCCTTTCTTCTTTTTCTTTGAGACTGGCCTTGTTAAGTTGTCCAGGCTAGCCTTGAACTGCTGGGCTTAAGTGATCATCCTGTYTCAGCCTCCTGAGTTGATGGAACTATAGGCCCTTACTAAYACCCCAGCTTGCATTTTTTTTTCTTTGACAAGTATTGGGGATTGAACCCTCTACCMCTGAGCTACATCCCAGCCTTTTTTATYATTATTTTATTTTGAGACAGAGTCTCAAGTTCCCTAGCCTATTCTGCAACTTGTGATCCTCCTGCCTCAGCCTCCCAGTTGCTGGGATTACTGGTGTGTGCCAGCACACCTGGCCCAGCTTTCATTTAAGATTTAAAAAAATATTTCCAAATCCCTTTCTAAAATGATGCTCCAAATTATATCCTCACCAACACTGGGAATTAGCACATTGAAAAATGTGGTTTTTATCAATCCGAAATGTTTTTTCTCGGTTCTGAGCAAGAATATAGTATTTAAATATGGTGTTTTTCTGTATCTTGATTTTACCTTAATATTTTAATTGTCAAAGGCAATAGCAAGAACTGCTAAGAATGCCTGGTTGGGTCATTTGAAAAGGTGAGAATGACCCTGCATCCTGTGACAACTTTCAGGGTTGATTTATTTGGGAACAGTAGAATTTTTCATCTATCTGAGAGTTTTCTTCCTTTTTTTGTTTTTGTTTTTGTTTTTGAATCAAGATGTTAACTTTAACTACTTTGGATGAAAAAATTATCAAAATTTTGGTATAATTTCTTTGAGTTTAGAATGAATATAAAAAGGAGAATCTTCTTGATGCCTTAAATCCATCAATTATAGCCTTGGGCTATAAGTTATTGATGTCCTTAGGCCATTTTGAGTGTGTAGGATGGGTTAATACCTTTAGCTAAATGGCCTTAGGCTGATATTTTTAAAATATTCCTTGTTCAACTTTTTGTAACTTTTTGAATTTTCCGTGTTAGTTCTCATTTTTTTTTTTTTTTTTTTTTTTTAAGAGAGAGTGAGAAAGGAGAGAGAGAGAGAGAGAAAGAGAACTTTTTTTTTTTTAATATTTATTTTCTAGTTCTCGGCGGACACAACATCCCCGTTGGCATGCGGTGCCGAGGATCGAACCCGGGCCGCACGCACGCCAGACGAGCGCGCCACCGCTGAGCCACATCTCCAGCCCCATAGTTCTCATTTTTAAGTTTGTCAGTTGATCTGTTTATAGAAGTTCCTCTCCATTACCTTCCTAATTGGTTCTCTGGTTTCTAAATTTATTACATCCCTTGTTGTAAATATGCATAAAGTAGATGTAGATTGCTATTCAAGAAGGTTTCGATGGGTCTTTATGAGTAAAGTCTGTGCAGTTAATATGTAGGCCTCAGGGGACCTAATTTGCAGGTGGAGAGACCTTTTTGGAAAGAAGGGATTGCCTTGTCTTTGGGTTGGGGGACAAACACTTTGAGCTCTATTTGTAGAAAGGTAGTGTGGTTGAAGAGTTGTTAGCAGATCTAGGTAGCCTTTTGTGACTCCAGTAAAGGGAGATGATATACAGTTGTCCCTTAGCATGTATAGGGAATTGGTCCCAGGACCCCAAAGGATACCAAATCCCTTCTATAAAATGGCCTGTAATCCCAGTGACTTGGGAGGCTGAGGCAAGAGGATCATGAGTTCAAAGCCAGCCTCAGCAATGAAGAGGCACGAAGCAACTCAGTGAGACCCTGTCTCTAAATAAAATACAAAATAGGGCTGGGGATGGGGCTCAGTGTTCACATGCCCCCAAGTTCAATCCCCAGTATCAAAAAAAAAAAAAAAAAGGCCTAACATTTGCCTATAACCTATGCACATCCATTAAATCGTCAATGTATATTCTGTGTAAATAATTGCTATACGGTGTTGTTTAGGGAATATTGACAAGAAAAAGGTCTGAACATGTTCAGTACAGACACAACTCCCTCCCACCCTGAATATTTTCAATCTGCAATTGGTTGAACACATGGATGCAGGACCCACAGATACAGAGGGCTGACTGTACTTGGTTGTAGGAACTTCTCTGAGCTTGGAGGGTCAGTGGGTAAAGGGGCAGTTATGGTGGTTCTGTGGTTTGTATGATGAGAGAAGATGAAGGGGAGAGCTGGGGGAAGAGGGCCAGCATCTCTGTCTTCATTACCAGGTGGACTTAAACTTGATTTATACTTGTTCTACTTAGCAGTTAAGTTCCTTTTAACTTAGCAAACATACTGTAACCAAAACACTATGCCAGGTGCTGAGGGGCTGTCACGGTGAGTGAGACATGCACATGCCTTCAAAGGGCTTGTATTCCACTGACAGAGAAGGGCCAGGAAAGAAAGAAAGAATAGGAACGAGTCAACCAAAGGTAGTGGAGTTCTGTCAATTAAGAGTCTTTTAGTTGCAAGCAATAGAAAATCGAACTCAGACTAGCTAAAGCAAAAAGAGACTTAATTGGCTCTTGGCACAGCTTGAGCTGGGGCTCAGATGGTGTTCCCAGGTTCCATCAGCTGACTGGGCTGATGTCAGGCTGGTTCCCCTGGTGGTATGGTAGCAGTGTCTCTTACATCCTGTATGCTCACAGAGCAGAGTGCTCTTTTTTCCCCCCCTCCAAAAAACCCAGCAAATGTTTTATTTCTTTTCATTGGCTCTGGCCAAACCTTATGGCCATCTCTGAGTCAACCACTCTGATCAGAGGGTGGGATGCAGTGATCGTAGCAGCCTGCATTGCATCTTACACACCTGGAGCCCGGGGATAGCACCATCTTTATGCAAAGCACATTGGCCAAGAACAGGGAAAGGATGGTTCCCCAGGAGCCTACAACCACAACCAGAACTATTAGAATAGGTAGCATATACTGACTTGCCCAGGAACCCACCAGATGTTTCCACAAAGTGGTGATAAAAGATGTGAGCTGTGATTGTACTTGTCAATCTCAAAATCCATATTGAGACACTAGAGACTGAACAGTTCTTTTTAGGTTTGGGGTAGTTTTTCGTGTGTGGTGCTCGGGATTGAATCCAGCTACCACAGAACTACAATCCCAGCCCTTTCTTATTTTTATTTTGAGTCAGAGTCTTCCTTAATTGCATTGGTGAGGCTAGCCTCAAACTTGGAATCCTCTTGCCTGAGCCTCCTGAGACGCTGCGATTTCAGCTGTGTGCATCATGTCCAGATAAATTTGGATATTTTCTGTAATTTGAGCCTTAAAGAAAGGAGAATGTGGAGGTGCAGTGGTGCACGCCTGTAATTAAAGAGGCTTGGGAGGCTGAGACAGGAGGATCGCAAGTTCAAAGTCAGCCTCAGCAACAGGAAGGCACTAAGCAACTCAGTGACACCCTGTCTCTAAATAAAATACAAAATAGGGCTGGGGATGTGGCTCAGTGGTCCAGTGCCCCTGAGTTCAATCTCCAGTGGCCCCTGCCAAAAAAAAAAAAAAAATTAAAAATTAAAAAAAAAAAAAAGGAGAACGTAAGGCATAAAAATGTTGACTCTGGAGGACCATAGACACAGTTCTGGGTCCTGTCTTTGTTATAGCTAAGGCATCTCCTGTCCTCAACTATCTTGTGGGAAAAATGGGGACAGTGTCATTATTTACTCACAGGGTTTTTACAAAAATTTATAGAAAATATCCACCTAAAACACTTAAATATTAYGCTCACTTGCAGTTAGCTATAATTATTTTTGTTCTTCTTCTTTTATCAATTAGCCTAACTGATAACCTCTGATTTTTTAAATTATTTTTTTTTCACTTGTTTACTTATTTATTTATTTATTTATTTTTGTATGTGATGCTGAGGCTCGAACCCAGGGTCTCCCACGTGCGAGGCTCTACCGCTGAGCCACAACCCCAGCCCCCGTGGATAACCTCTGATTTTTATTAGATCCCAAATAGTTCATGTTATAAAGATACTATTGAACCAATGATTTTAGAAGTTGTGTTTTTGTTGTTGTTATTGATGATGATGTTCCAGGGATTGAACCCAGAGGTGCTTAACCCCTGAGCCACATCCCTATCCCTTTTTATTTTTTTTATTTCAAGACAGGGTCTTACTAAGTTCTCAGGGCCTCACCAAGTTGCTGAGGCTGGCATTGAATTTGTGCTTCCCTTGCCTTAACCTCCTGAGTTGCTGGGATTACAGGCATGCACCATCATGCTGAACTATAAGAATTTTATTTTATGTTTTTAATGAGCATTTTGCCRGGTGTGGTGGTACACACCTATAATGCCAGCTGTTTGAGAGACTGGGGCAGGCAGATCGCAAGTTCCAGTCCAACCTGAGCAACTTAGCAAGACCCTGCCTCAAAATAAAAAAAATAAATAAAAATGGTTGAGGATGTAGCTCAGTGGTAGAGAGTTCCTGGGTTCAATTCCCCGGACTGCCAAAACATAGTAAGCATCTTATTTGTAAGGTTGCAGTTTATGAGTTAACTTAAACAAAAATCTTGGCAGRGATACAGGCCACTTCAGAGCAGCCGCAGCAGCTGGTGGCGAAATGGAGATGCAGTCCTATTATGCCAAGCTCTTGGGGGAGCTGAATGAACAGCGGAAGAGGGACTTTTTCTGTGACTGCAGCATCATCGTGGAAGGGCGCATCTTCAAGGCCCACAGGAACATCTTGTTTGCCAACAGCGGCTACTTCCGAGCCCTGCTCATTCACTATATCCAGGACAGCGGGCGGCACAGCACCGCCTCCTTGGACATCGTCACCTCCGACGCCTTCTCCACCATTTTAGATTTCCTTTATTCCGGGAAGTTGGATTTGTGTGGGGAGAATGTGATTGAAGTCATGTCAGCCGCCAGCTACCTGCAGATGAACGACGTGGTGAACTTTTGCAAGACCTATATCCGGTCGTCCCTTGATATTTGCCGAAAGATGGAGAAGGAGGCCGCCGTGGCCGCAGCGGTGGCCGCAGCCGCAGCMGCAGCAGCAGCAGCAGCAGCAGCAGCTCATCAGGTCGACAGTGACAGCCCCAGTTCAGGCAAGGAGGGGACCTCCTGTGGCACCAAGAGCTTGGTGTCCTCTCCAGCCAAGGGAGAAGAGAGTGTGGACCCGAGAGAATCCCCTTGCGATGACTGCGGGGACTGCCACCCCTTGGAACTGGTGGTGAAAGACAGCCAGAGTGGAGGCTCGACTGACAGTGACTTCGCCACTCTGCCCAAACGGGTAGAGCCCAAGGTAGAATTCGATGCCGCTGAAGTGGAGGTGGAGGTGGGTGAACAGCTGCAGCAGTATGCCGCCCCCCTGAGTCTGGCCCACATGGAGGAAGCCTTGCCCAGCRGCCAGGCCATGGACTTGGCTTATAGTAACTACCACGTGAAGCAGTTCCTAGAGGCGCTCTTGCGCAACGGTGCTGTCCCGAGCAAAGACGAGGCAGACCATCACTTCCCTCGGGGTTTGGAGGGAAGACCGGAAGGTGCAGGGGTAGCTATGAGTTCCATGATGGACGYCCAGACTGACTGGTATGGAGAGGACTCAGGTGAGCTCCATTAACATTCATCGTCTCTGCTGGTCATTCGTTTAGCATGCACCTTCTGTGCCTTGTGTTCTTCCATCATCGTGTCACCATCACCATTGTTGTTTGTCACTGCCAACATCTGTCACCATCACCACCAGCACCACCATCATTGCTGCCACTACCACCACCACCTGCTCCATTCAGGACATCATTTCTTCAGGTATCTGTGTTTTACCTCTACAACCAGAGTACARTCCTCTTTTGGTATACATGAGGGATTGGTTCCAGGATTCCCTCAGATAATAAGTACCCGGTGCTCAAGTCCCTTATGTAAAATGATGCAGTATTTGCCTGTCACCTATAAACATCCTCCTATATACTKTAAATCATRTCCAGATTATGRATAATATCTAATACAATGCAAATGCTATGTGAATAGTTGTTATACTACATTGTTTGGGGAACAATGACAAAACAATGAAAAAATCTGCACTTGTTCAGTCACTTTCTTCCCAAATATTTTCAGTTCATGATTGGTTGAATTCATGGATAATGAGGGCATGTTGAGGGCAATTTGTAGATACGGAAAGAAGCCCCTCTTTTCCACTCTCCAGCAATGGGATCTTAGTTAAATCACTGAATCTCTGAGCCTGTTTTGCCATATTTGAGTTGGAAAGAACCGTTCCTACCCTATCTTTCCYACAAGGTTATTGTGAGGATCAGAAGAGAAGGTTGTCAGTATTTTTTCCTGACGTAGGATACTGTGTTCTATTGCAAAGGAGATTTATATGGT